AAATATTCAATCCAAAAAACCTCACAAAAATAATTCACTGCTTGTGAAAACGGGGGTTTAAACCTAACAATAATATGAAGAAATATTCATTCATAATTAACTTAACAATAACTTACTATTTTGCAGAGGGCGGTGGCTTCAATTCTTTTGCTAGATTGACGAAGATGAAAGACGGGCAGATTGACAAAGGAGAGGAAGAGCTAGAGCAGGTAGAACGAATGTGCAGCACGTATGGTAGAATCGTGATAATATTGAAAAAATTGAGCCCCGACATGTGTCTTTTGAAGGATTATAATGGGGGTTTAAACTACAAAACGACATTTAAAACCGTCGAAATTAGAGGTTCTATAATGACAGTTTAAACCAATAATGCTGAAAGGGTTCTATAGCGACAATTTTCAGAACGCTACTAATAAATGTTGCGAATAAATTAAATTTTTTGTAGTGTATGTTCGTTACCGACTCATAACTAAGTTTATCTAGGAGACTCATCTTTCACTCGGGAGGAATTACTATCATGGATTCACCTTGAACACACTTCTGAATACTCGCCCATGTGGGTCTAAGGTATCGCTTGAAAAATTCTCAAATCATGTTAAGATTAGAGAGTCACGTCAAAAACAAAGAGTCACATGCATCCTCACCTTACAACCTAACCCATGTTTCTATGTCCGTCTATATTTAGCGTATTATATATTATTATTATTATTATTTTAATGTAGTTTTTGTTGTAGCTCTCTTAATCCTAACAATAAAGGATTAAACGACTTAAAAAAATAAATAAATAAAGGATTAAATGATATATTTTGAACTTCATGCTATTATTCATCTTCACAAAATATCTCATTTACTCTCCATGCTTGCTAAATCTCTCTCGTTGTTTCCTCACTCTAGCTTGCTAAATTTTCTAGTAGGGTTAGATATTGCTCACAAACTAATTTAGATTCAAGAGTTTGTTAAGTGTAAGTTCATGAGAAACAGATTATTAAAAGGGTGAAACAAAGCACTTACAGCATGGTGGCATGATAATTTTGTTTTATTATTATGATTGACTGTCCTTCATCCCTATCAAAAGCGAAAGCATTAATTCGAAGATAGTGTAATTTATGCTTCGTTTGAGACTGCTTTCTTCCTGCTTCTTAAAACGAGTTTCTAGTACAAAATTTTAAATTTTTTAACTAAAAAGTCACTTTCAGAAGTAGTAAGAAAGCCATCCCAAACGAAGCCTTAGTTGAAGGATAAGTAGTCCGAGTTCAGAGATTATCGAAAGGCTTGCTAAGTTCTCTTTGACGATTGTCACCTATAATAAAGGTAGGCCTGTACAGTGGCAGATTTACCTAAATATAAGGAAAAAAAAATAGCCATTATATCATTATTAAAAAATTTTAATAAAATTAAAAAAAAATATTAAGTTTTATATTATACATAATTATATAATCGAATTTTAATCTAAAAGATGACAGTCACCTGTAGGGAGTTGCCTTGTACCAAACTCAGGAAGAAAAAATGGTACGATCGATCCACCTCTAATGGGTCAAAATAGCAGTGGAAAATGAAAAAACAAGTCTGAGCAAAGAAACATTTTTCTTAATTACTAATAACTGCATGCATCTCTTTTATATCTTTTTGATAATGATGCTCTTCTGTTTTTTATTCTTTTCATAGGCCCATTCGAATCGTTAGCTATGCATAACATATTCGTTGATATTTTTGCTTAAACACAAATAATATTTGTTAGTGCTGTGTGTGATTTGATTGTGTGAATCAATTATATTGTATCGTTGACTTAGATCTCAGATCTCAATTCTATTAGTTGAGCTCACCAAGGGGTTGTAGAGAGCAGTGCTCCACCTAGTTGGAGTTTGGGGGCTTGCCGCTAAAAATGGTTTTCAGTACATTCGTACAAAACCACGACTGACACCGGACAACCCTGATTGGGTTTCGTCAATCGGCCTAGTGCAATGGCAAGATAGAGTGGACCTTGAACGGGGACGCCGAGACGTCGCTGATCACCACTGTTCCTGCAAGGACAACAAACACCACCACCTGACAGTGCGCCAGGATACAGAATACAAACGAAAGAATTAATTCTCAGCTCAAAATCATCTATCTCTTATTAATGTTCCTTCAGCTATTTATAGTCACTTTTAGAAACAGCGACAGCTAACAAGAAACAAGAACGAAATAAAAGAAAAGCAATACATATATCTGAAGTTCTTATAGCACATGGTTGTTGTGGCCACACGATTCAGATACATCCTTAGCTCCGGCGTCAACGACGTTGTACATTGGAGTGCTAAAGCAATGTACACTTATGAGTTGCAGCGTTTTAGGATGCAGCGCGACGACGCTATAGTCTTAGTTGGAGCTAGCGATAATGAGGAGAGCATTGCTACACTATAAACTCCGGAGCTGTGGTGCTATGAGTCGGGATGAAAGTTTTTCTCTTAAATTTTTATAGTAAATTTTTCGGTGTAGAATGCCTTAGTGATTTTGTAATTTCAGATTTTTTGGATGTGTGGTTTACTTCCAAACAATATTTTATAACTATGTTATCAAATCTACATCTTTTTACTCCATATAATATTTCTAGCACTCAGTCATAGCATGGGCAAGTTTAACAATACTCTTAAATTTGGAGAGATTTTCAAAATTTTATTATTGCCATATGTTACCACATATACGATTGACTACTGTGTTCTTGTTGATTTTCAAAAATGTTTTATGATGGGTAATCATTTTGAGAACCAAATCTGCAATTGTGATAATTATAAAAAAAATTCTTATTTAATTCTTTCAAAAAAATAATAATGCTAGTAATCATTTTAAAAAATAATATTTTTACAACCATCCAATTTTCTTAATAATCTGTCTATTATTTCCCGCATTGATTGATCAAACAAATTAAACAAGGCTTTACTGATACGGGCTATCAATTTTGCTAAATTTTAATTTTTCTCGCTGAAACTCACAATATTACCCGACCTGACCCGACCCACTCAAATAGTCATTTTCTTCGACGCACCGTACTGCAACATCGCCAAAGTCAAAGCAGACAGCAACAAATTTCCTATGTCAGAACTCACAATGGACAAAAATTATACGACCAAAGTTTTTCAAACATTTCAGACTTTTGTACGGCCGACTAGCTTCCTATATAAATTAAGCTCTCCTTACAATCCCCATTAATTTACTCACTTGCTCGTCTCCTTACAGTTACCGATCGAGCATCTCTGTTAGTCACATACAAATTAATTAATCTATGGAAGCTGCAGCCAGAACAAATCAGAACGTTGGCGTCACCTCGTGGCTCCCTTTGTTTCAAAATTTAAAAGACAAAGCGGCAAAGTTGGGAAAGAAGCTTAAGAAGATAGGCAAAGAAGACCCCAGAAGAATCCTTCACTCTTTCAAAGCAGGACTCGCCATTAGCCTCATCTCCATCTTCTACTACGTCAACCCTCTCTTCACCAGCCTCGGTTCCTCCTCCACCATGTGGGCTGTCCTTACCGTCGTCGTTGTCATGGAGTTCACCGCCGGTATATATATATATATAGGCATTTCGTCGAACACGAAGCTAGAGTATTATTTATAACCATATCGATCAACCCTCTTTTGAGCAGGTGGAACGCTGAGCAAAGGCCTCAACAGGACATTCGCAACGCTTCTCGCCGGAGCGCTCGGGCTCGCCGCACAACGCCTTGCGGCGCTGTCCAGTCACAGTGCCGGCGAGCCCATACTTCTCAGTGTCTTTGTATTTCTATTAGGTAATACTATATAAACCAATATGAATTATAAAAAAGTAGCTCAATTATAAATAAGCATGTCGATATTGCAGCGGCCATGGCGACATTTTCTCGGTTTGTGCCGGAGATTAAAGCGAGATATGACTACGGAGTGACGATATTTATACTGACGTTTAGCATGGTGGCGGTGTCCGGATACAGAGAGGAGGAGCTGATTAAATTGGCGCTGCAGAGGCTTTCCACAATAGCAATTGGGGTGGCGACTTGCGTCGCCATCTCCATTTTTGTTTTTCCTGTGTGGGCTGGAGAGGATCTTCATAATCTCCTGCCTGCTAATATTGACAAGCTTGCTTGCTTCTTGTTAGGTACAAGCTTAGTGCTCATTACGCAATTTTTAATCTTTAAAAAACTATTATTTTTTCCATTATATTATTTTAGGAGATTTACATAAATTTTAAGAAGTTTTATTGTCTACGGCCTCTTCTGACACATCACTTTAATTAATGCTTACATGTTCTTAACTAATTTTCTATTCTGCTGGAATTTAAAGGACTGGAAAGAGAGTACTTTGGAGAAAAAATGGGAAGTGGTCAGATTTTGGAGGAAGCTTCCTTCCTGATCAGTACTTATAAGCCCGTTCTTAATTCCAAGCCTACGGAGGATTTGTTGGTAATTATATGCATTATCTTATATAAAAATATATCCTTTTTTAATTAAAGAGAATTAAGTGATTAAATTGTGGCTTAATTAAATATTTAGTGTAATATATGACTAATTAATTATACATGATCGAATATTAATTGAAGATAAATGGTAATTAAGTTTATTTTAAAATAATCTTTCTTGATGGTTTTTTATTCAGGCAAATTTTGCAAGATGGGAGCCAGGCCATGGATGTTTTGGCTTTTGTCATCCATGGAAGCTGTATCTTAAGATCGGAGCTCTAACTCGTCAATGTGCGTATTCTATGGAAGCCATCAGCTCCCACATTTCCACTAGTAAAAACAGTAAGGTAGCTGATCATCTTCTGATTTTTTAATCTCCTACTAATTGAAGGTTTCTCATAATCTCATTTGACATAAAGTGAAGAGCTTACAAGATAAAAATATAAATAAAGGCGAGCTGTAAAAACAAAATAAGCTTTTTAATTTAAATATGTGCAGGTGATCACAGATACAGAGTTCAAAGAAAGGATCCGAATTGCATGCGCGGAGATGAGCTCCGAAACCGGGAAGGCATTAGCGGAGCTAGCGACTGCTATCCGGCAGATGAGAACGCCATCCACCGCCGTTGCGCAACACCTGTCAAACGCCACGACAGCCTCCGAAAGTCTCAAGACATTATCACCGGCGAAGGACGCGTCCTTGCCGGAGATTCTCCAGTCGGCTACCACGGCTTTCCTCTTATCGGCGGTCGTTAAATCCGCCCACCACTTGGCCACCGCCGTCGAAGAGCTCAGCCGTGTTGCGCATTTCAAGCGGCAGGATCAAGCGCACAAGGATTCCGCCGTCAAGCCCGTCGCCGGCGGCGAAAGCCCGCCCCACGTGGTTGTTGAAATAGAGAAGTAATGATCATGGTCTGGGAGTATGGTTTTAAACTGTGGAAGTAGCTATAAAAACACAGATGTTCAGAGTCGCTGAATTAACTATTGAATGAGTTTGTTGAAGAAGAAGAAGAGGGAGATGATTGTGTACAGTTCTTTACGTAGAACTGTGTGCATGATGACCTGTATATGTACCTTTGTATTAATATTTATGACAGGAGAAGTAGCTATAATAAATTATACTCTGTACTTTATAATGTAAAAACAAATCTGAAATATATTATTTTATTTGGAAAATTTAATTGGGATCATTATTTCTTCGCAATGGTCACATGAAATTTAAAAATTGTCGTAATTGGACCAGCTAATTAAGCTACATTCATGACCAGATAAGTAATACTGAAATAAAAGTTATATTTATGTAAATATATAAAAATGCAATTAAAATGTTTTATTGGTTGATGATGGTGGCGATTTAATGAGGTTTTATGTGAAAAAAATTTGTCAATATATTCTTATATCCTTAAAAGTAACGAGATAACATTTAAAAAATAATAGTGCGCCAGAACAAAAATATAATTGTCGTCAGCAAGGAGGGAATTGTATAGTGTTGTGTGTGTGGTGGGGGAGGGGAGGAGGATGATTAAAAGATTAAAATTTTTACTATAGTGAGGATTATTTATAATTTATCCCTTCTGAAATTTATTTTTTGCTCGAACGACTTTTTTTTCACGTAATTAATTTACTTCAGAAAAATCAAAAAGCCTTTTAGCCTCCTGCTATTTTCATTCCATTATGTTAAACTTTTCTAATACTAACAAATAAATTTATGAAAAATGATTATGTTTTTACTATAGTGAGGATTATTTATAATTTATCCCTTCTGAAATTTATTTTTTGCTCGAACGACTTTTTTTTCACGTAATTAATTTACTTCAGAAAAATCAAAAAGCCTTTTAGCCTCCTGCTATTTTCATTCCATTATGTTAAACTTTTCTAATACTAACAAATAAATTTATGAAAAATGATTATGTGCAAAATAAATTATTTTTGCATCATTATATATATTTTTATTTTTATTTTTTCATTTGCCACTTGTGATAGTCAAGCAAAAGTGTTGCTCTTATGATATAAAAAATAAAATAATTACCTTCGATCTTAAACAAATATTTTTTATTTTTTAACCTTTAATGAATGCACCACATAGAACCTACAAGAACTAAGAATGTTTTTTTTTTTTGTATAATTTATTGTAGTTGTGTGCATACACTTGGTATGATTTATTTATTTATTTTAATATTTATAAATTTATATAAGGGACTCGGATGCAATATAATTGTTTTCTTACAAATACATTATATAAGTAAAAATATAATATGTAAGGACTTTTAGAATAAAAGCTGATCAATGAAAAGCATGAATGACATGAATGAATGGTGATGGAGAATTGAATTAGAAATGATTTCATGGAAGGAGGTGCACACTATGAACACTAGAAAATCATCCTTATCTCTATAGAAAGTCACCACTAGAATTCAATATTTGTCGTCCTTAAAGTTTGTCAAACCTACCAAATCCAACATCTCGAAGTTTAATACAAACTACTGAAGTGTTCTTCACTTTATATTATCAACGTACATGCAAATTATTCGAAATCAACCATAAAATTGTGGAGAAGATTTGGATCATAATATTCAAATAAAATTACACTAAATAAATTTATGTTCATCAGATTTAGGGTCTTTTTGGGATGGCCGTAATGTTTTATAAAGTTGATAATGAAGTTTTATTATAAGAAAAATAACTTAGCTATTCTACTTGTATAAAACAGCTATTCATCCTCGAAATTTTAAAATCAATAAACAAGCAAATTATAATTTTTATATGAAAAACAAAACAGGAAAAAAGCTATCTCAAACCGGCCATTACTTAATTATTTATTATATTATTTCAAAATAATTCAATAATTTTTTTCTTTCTTTCTTCTATTAAATCTATCATTTTTCTATGACTTGGTAGGTGTCCCTTAAATTAGTTAATAAATATCTTTAATTTTATTATTATCAAATTAAATTTTATCATCCTAATTATCTTACAATAATTTTAAATTTCAACATTTTAAAATTTTTCAAAAAAAAAAAAAACTCTTGAACTAGGACCTAAAGTTTCATTTGAAATGACTTTCTTTTTTAAAATAATTACTTTAAAAATATC